CGTTCCATCCCAGGCTGCTCCGAGCCCCAGTGTCCACCCTGGCCTTGAGCACTTCCCGGGATGGGGCAGCCACAGCTTCTCTGACAGACACAGCCGGGTGGGTTTGGGATGTCTCTAGACAGGGAGATTCCACAGCCTCCCTTTCCACGGTTTCAGTGCTCTGCCATTCTCAATGGAAAGTTGTTCCTCACGGTGAGGTGGAACTTGTGTTTTAGTCTATCATCCAGTCACTGGACACAAAAAGAGCCTCAGCTTTACGCACATAACAAACAGCAGCAAGGGGATGTACAGCCACTGCAACTAAAGAGCCAGCACTGGTTAAACCCTTACAGAAAGTCCTACCAAACCCTCCAGGTGTCTCTGAGCCTCCTGCTCGGAGCAGCAAGAGCAGCTCCCTAGGGAAGGAGCCAGGGACCCTGTGCCAGGGCTTCACCACCCTCACAGGGAACAATTCCTGGCATCTTATCTAAACCTACTCTCACTCAGTTTCAGCCCATTCCCCCTTATCCTGTCACTACATGCCCTTGTAAAAAGTATCTCTTTCTTGTAGGTTCCCTTTGCATACTGGCAGGCCACAATTAGGTCACTCCAGAGCCTTCCCTTTTAAGAGTGTGGTTGTGGTTGTTTCCAGTCACTTTCATGTTTTATTACTACCATTTTTGTTCGATTGCTTGAGTTTTATCCAGGTTTCTGATGATGATGTTGGTCTCGTTGTAATTAAACTATTCTAAAGTCTTGTGCATTACCAAGTTTCTCTGCTAAGCAGGAGCTGAGGAGCTGGTTTGGCTGGTTTGGGTTAAGTGCTTCTGAAGTGGCCTGCCCTGAAGATGTAGTGATAATGGCACATCCAGCACCAGTACAGCAATTTCAGCAGCTTTACTTTACACTTTTCAATGTTAAGAACCAACTGTAACTGATTTACCCTTTAAAAAGCTGTAAAAGGTGTTCCAGGAAAAGGAGAGGTGCCTTTCAGCTTTGTGGACATTATGGAAATACTTTGCTGTGGTTGCTGCTCACTGTAGAGGCACATGTGACTAAGGATCACTGTGCATAACACTGAGCCTTTCTTCCCAAGAGAACCTGTGTGGGCCTTCTGCTTGTTCTTGTTAGTGCTGTTCTTCCCTGCTTGCTCAACATACCTCAGAGAAACAGCATGCTCAGGAGGCGTGAAGCTGAGGCTTTTCTGACTACACTCAAACTTGTATTATGGTGAGTTGCTCCCACTTTGATGCTCACAGGAGTTTCTTTTGCAGTGGGAGTTGGAGAAGCTGCAAATTTCGCCGCCTATGCCTTTGCCCCTGCAACACTGGTAACTCCACTGGGTGCTCTGAGTGTCCTTGTTAGGTAAGCAGCCTCAGAAACAGCCTCACTTCACCTACCTTAGTGATGAAAGCAGTTGCTCTGCTCTCTTCCTTCAGGTATCCATTTCTTGTCCTAAACGGTTTTGGATTTTTTTTTCTTTTTCAGTGCAGTTCTGTCTTCCATCTTCCTGAATGAGCAGCTGAATGTTCATGGGAAGATTGGCTGCATCCTGAGTATGCTGGGCTCCACTGTCATGGTGATCCATGCTCCACGGGAAGAAGAGGTTTCCAGCCTGGAGTCAATGGCAGAGAAGCTGAAAGATCCAGGTACTGAAATAAAAGTATTTCTGTTGACTTCAGGCTAATGACAGTAGAAGTTGGGATACAACTTGAATAGATTGGAAAAGACTGAACTAAACTTCCTGAATGAGCAGCTGAATGTTCATGGGAAGATTGGCTGCATCCTGAGTATGCTGGGCTCCACTGTCATGGTGATCCATGCTCCACGGGAAGAAGAGGTTTCCAGCCTGGAGTCAATGGCAGAGAAGCTGAAAGATCCAGGTACTAAAATAAAAGGATTTCTGTTGACTTCAGGCTAATGACAGTAGGAGGTGGGACACAACTTGGATAGATTGGAAAAGACTGAACTGAATGGCAATTGAGCTGTTTCTTGTTCTGCACACCCCACTGGAATACCAAGTGCGCTGTTTTTTTACTGTCTGTGAGGTACAGATGCAAAAAAGTGAGGAGCAGGGAAATGAGGTGCAGCTGTCAGCAGAAGGGATTGGCCTGTGGCAGTGCCAGGAATTGCAGAGGGAATTCCTGTACATAAGAGTGGTAGTGGTGTGGCTGAGAGGAGACAGAGGAGGAAATTCAGTCAGGAGAATTCAAGGCAAAAGAATTCAAGTTGTGTGAGAGGAGACAGAGGAGGAAATTCAGTCAGGAGAATTCAAGGCAAAAGAATTCAAGGAGTCGTGCCCAAGATCAGGTAGTCCTGGTATTTATGTTAGAGGATGAATCAAGTCACAAGGATATGATGTAGGCAATAGCACAAATGGCAGAATAAGCCAAAAGAGATGGAGGAAGGCAGCATAAGGAGAGGATCAAAGCAGACTACACCAGCCAGGTACAACAGGCAGATGTTGCTGCTCATTAGGGGGAGCACTGCAGAGCATTCCTGTGATGTGGCACTTTCCTTTTTATCCCACCAGTCTGCAGCGTTCAGCCACAGCTTCCCAAGCCTTCTGTCACCTTCTTGGCCTGCTGCTGGACTGGTCAAAAGCCCCCCAGCTCTGGTAGTGCTGTGGAGCCTGGCTGTGCCCCTGCCACTCCCAGCAGAGTGTATCCCCAACAACCTGACTTGTGATCACACTGTAATGAGCTGTTGTTGTCTCTGCAGCTTTGCTCAGGCTTGCCAACCCTGTTCCCTTCAGATGGAGGCCAGAAAGGCTGATGGGGCACTTACCTGCCTGTCCTCCATCTCTACTTGCTGTTCAGTCATATCTGTCACTGGTGCTGCTGTGTTCTGATGGAGTTCTTGAATTCTTCTTTCCCCAAGGATTCATTGTGTTTGCTGTGTGTGTCCTGGTGAGCTCCCTTCTGCTCATCTTTGTGGCTGGACCCCGTTATGGGCAGAGCAACGTCCTGGTTTATGTTTTGGTCTGCTCTGCCATTGGCTCGCTGTCCGTATCCTGTGTCAAAGGCCTGGGGATTGCCCTGAAAGAACTGTTCTCTGGGAAGCCAGTGCTGAAGGAACCCCTGGGCTGGGTGCTCCTGGTGTGCCTGGTGATCTGCATCAGCATCCAGATCAACTACCTGAACAAAGCCCTGGACATTTTCAACACCTCTGTGGTCACACCCATTTACTACGTGCTGTTCACCACGGCAGTCATGATGTGCTCTGCCATCCTCTTCAAGGAGTGGCAGCACGTGGTGCTGGACAACATCGCCGGCTCCATCAGCGGCTTCCTCACCATCGTGTCCGGCATCTTCCTCCTGCACGCCTTCAGGGACATGCCCTTCACCCCCAGCCTGCTGCCCCTCTCCCTGCAGCCAGCCAGGGCAGAGCCACGCCCGCCCTGGAGCAGTGCAGACAGACATCACTCCTGCCAGCACCAGCCGCTGCTGCCCGCAGAGGACAAGGGCTCTCAGAGTGCAGAGGAGGAGGAGGAGGAGGAGGAGAAGTGAAAGCAGGTGAGGAAGCATCTGATCTGCTGGCTTCCTGCTCCCACTGCTGAGGCTGAATGTGCTGCTGCAGGAGCTGTGTTAGCCTCTGCCTGCCCCAGGCACCACCATGCTGACAAGAGGCTGGCAGAGCAGCAGGGAAGGAGCCCGGGAACTGCCCAGTTCCTGGTGTCCTGTGCCTCTTCACTCTTCTTTTATGTGAGGAATGAATCTGCCCTCGTCAGGGCAGAGAGAGGCCTGCAGCACTAACACAGTGCTAACCCTGACTCCGTGGCAGATCACACATCTGGGGAGGCTCACACTGTTTTTTAAAACCCAGAATTAACAGTTACAGAATGATCTAACATGGTGCTAAGGTTGCACAGAGGGAAGATGGATGTCTGGCTTTAAAGGTGACATTCAAAGAGTATTAATGCAAAAATTCCTCTGTCAAGTACTTGATTTTGCTCACTCTGCTAGAATTTATTTACAGATTCACATCCAAAAACAGAATACAGCCCAAACTGGGAAACTTCAGTGGTGCTGCCACATGCTGCTGTGGCTCTTACAGAGGGACCAACCTCTTTGTGCAATGTCTGCAATGCAGGTTGATGAAGCTTCCTGTGTTCTATTAAAGACTGATCTGTTCAGTTATCCAGTGGTGAGTGATACATTTATACCAAGAGCTGGGTGAACACTGGAAGGCATGGAGGATCACAGGGGTAGGTAGAACTCCTGAGTGCTCCAGAGAAACTCAGGTTAGGACAGGAGAGGAAACCACCTACTCTGGGAACCTAGTCCTTAGCTACTGAGGTAAGTTTCTGACAGGTAACTGGACAGCTGTGTCCTCGCTGACATGGGTTTACATCTGCATAGCTGCTGAACACACCCTGAGGTTGTTCCCAGGAAGGCTGCTGGCTCCAAGCCACCCACGTTAGGAGCTCCCACGCTGTCCAGCAGCCCCTGCAGTGGGTTGTGTGCAGCACTGCTTTACCAGGCTCCTGTGTAGAGCTCCAGACCACTGCCAGGGTCACTCCAGGCTTCCCAGAGCCCTGCAGCATATGAGCACTGCTGAAATGCTGCTGCCTTCCCAGAGAGCTGATCAGTACTTGGTTGTTTTTCCAGTTTGAAGCTCCTCTTGGTGTCCTGGGGGCAGAGGTCCAGAAGACACACCCACAGGCCTCGGGCCAGTGACCTCCACAGGTGAAGGTGCACGAGGTTATAAAGCAGCTAGTTAGTTATTCCCTGCATTTAGTCTCTTTAAAGAAACTACTCTCCAGGACAGCAGGAGTTGTTAACCTTTTGGGGAAGAAGAGGAAAGGGCACAGCCTCTCCCAGAAACAAGTCTGATTCAGGAGAACAGATTAATTGAGCAACAAATCAGAATTCAGAAAAGGCCTTCTAGCCAGAAGACAGTTATGTCTTCTTCCTACTAATTTTGCCATAAATAGGATAACTGGGAAGGAGGGGGAGTGACAAGAAGGCCAGATTTTCCATTCTTAGTAGTCATCTTTCTGAAAAAAGGAGAATCTCATATTAAAAATTGACCCAGTTAATATTTATTACATTTACCCAGGGAAAGCAGTTAATGGAGCAAGTCAGCATCGACAGAGTTGTGCTGCAGTGTGAGAATTGGTCACTTGGCCGTACGAACGATTTACCTATGGAAGCCTGGAAGTATTTTCCAGCAGTGGCACTGCCTGGGATGGTCACTGTTCCCAACATGCTCTTCTTGCTCAGGGTGCCTGTCCCAGCCTGCAGAGCGATGGGTGAGGATGTGCCCAGGAGGGCTGCTTTGTGCAGCACTGTTTAAGGCAGGCTGGCCTCACCCAGAGCTGGGAGCATCCGTGAAACGAGCATCAGCACCCCCCTGCCCAGCCGAGGGTTCCAAACGCTCCCTGCGTGGCACCGGCTCCCGGCACAAAGGCGGCCGCCCGGAGCAGCACAGCACCCCAGCGCGGAGCGTCCTCGTGTCTGGTGTGGGCTCTCATCTGGCTGCGACTTCCCCGAGACTGGCATTTAATCAAATCCTACCCCCCGAGCTGATCCTGGCTCCCCGGGGCAGCGGAGTGACCGGGGTGGGCATGGGCGAGGGCCGGCCCGCGGGGCTGGCTCCGGCTCAGTCGGACAGGCTCTCCGAGAAGGCCGACTTGGACTTCTGCGTCTGCTCCAGCCGGTTCAGGATGAACTGGCTGGTGTCGATGAAGCGCTCCACGCAGTTCACGAAGCACGTCTCAGCCCGGCTGTCCAGCTTGGGGCCCGGCTTGTCCATGCACTTCTCCTGCACACAGCGGGGTCCCGTTGGTACCGCAGCCCGATCCCCCCACCGGGGCCGCGCCTCCGGGCCTCTCCCGCCACCTCGGGGTCCCGGTCCCCCCGGGACCCCCGGCCCCCCTCGGGCGCAGCCGAGCGCTGCCCACGCGTGGCTCCCGGAGAGCCGCCCGCTCCCGCCCCGTGCTCACCGGAGCTGGGGCTGCTCCCACGGCGGCTCCGTTTTGTCCCCATCAGCCTCCTCCCCCCGGGGACAAAGGTCTGCGCGGCCTCCCAGCCCGCCTTGCCCCACCATCGCCACCGGGTCACCGGAGCCGGCGGCCCTGCCCGCCGCCCGTACCCAGCACAGCTCGGTCATCTGGTGCACCAGCTGCTGGAAGCGCTGCTTCTGCGTCTCCACCTCGATGAAGCGCTGGAGCTGGGGGTCGGCGCCGCCCAGCCCGGCGGCGGACGGCGGGTCCATGGCGCTGCCGCTGTGCCCCGCTCCCGCCGGCGCCGCCTGCGCGCCCGCCCGCCGCGCGCCCCCTGCCGGCACGGCGGAGCGGCCGCAGCCGGGGAGGCCGCGGAGCCGCCCATTGTCCGGGAGCGGAGCGGAGCGGAGCGGGTGTGAGGGAGCCCCGGGTCGTGATGGAGCTCCACGACGGTGATGGAGCCACGGGAATGCGATGGAGTTCTGGGGTGGTGATGGAGCTCCGGGGCTGTGATGGAGCTCCAAAATGGTGATGGAGCTCCAAGATGGTGATGGAGCTCCGGGGATGCGATGGAGTCCTGGGGTGATGATGGAGCTCTGAGCACATGATGGAGCTCCAGGGATGTGATGGAGTCCTGGGGATGTGATGGAGTCCTGGGGTGGTGATGGAGCTCTGAGCACGTGATGGAGCTCCAGGGATGTGATGGAGTCCTGGGGTGGTGATGGAGCTCTGAGCACGTGATGGAGCTCCAGGGATGCGATGGAGTCCTGGGGATGTGATGGAGTTCTGGGGTGGTGATGGAGCTCTGAGCATGTGATGGAGCTCCAGGGATGCGATGGAGCTCCAAGATGGTGATGGAGCTCCGGGGATGCAATGGAACTCCAGGCATGCAATGGAGCTCCGGAGCTGTGATGGGGCTCCAAGACGATGATGGAGCTCCCGGGCAGTGATGGAGCTCTGGGGACACAATGGAGCTCCAGGCATGCGATGGAGCTCCGAGGCTGCGATGGAGCTCCAAGATGGTGATGGAGTTCTGGGGTGATGATGGAGCTCCGGGGATGTGATGGAGTCCTGGGGATGTGATGGAGTTCTGGGGTGGTGATGGAGCTCCAGGGATGTGATGGAGCTCCAAGATGGTGATGGAGCTCCGGGGATGCGATGGAGTTCCGGGGATGCGATGGAGTTCTGGGGATGCGATGGAGCTCCAGGGATGTGATGAAGCTCTGAGCATGTGGTGGAGCTGTGGCACGGCCGTGGGCGTCCCCCAGGCTCCTGCACTCCCGGTGTGCGGGTGTGTCCCGCCGGGCAGGGTCAGCGGGCAGTCCCCGCGGTCAGCACTCCTCGTCGGCCATGTCCAGGATGCTGCTCAGCAGCACGGTGAAGGTGGGGCGCTCCTCAGGCTTCTGTGGGGCGAGAGGGGAGCGTGGCTGGAGCCCGTGTGTGCCCCAGGCACGCCCTGGGGAGCCCCGTCACCGCGCCAGGGCTGTCACCGGGGTGCAGGCCGCTCACCTCGTGCCAGCAGCTGTACATGATGGCATAGACCCGCTCCGAGGCCGCCTGCGGCCGGTACAGGCGCAGGCCCTGGATGACGTGCTCGGTTGTCTCGCTGTTGTTAAACCTCTCGTAAGGCATCTTCCCCAGGGAGTAAACTTCCCACATCAGCACTCCTGTTGGGGGAACAGCACGGAGAGCTCATGGCACTGGAGCAGCTGTGCCTGCAGCTGGTTTGCAGAGGGGTTCCCAGCCTCCAAATCAGCAATGCTGGGCCCTTACCAAAGGACCAGACGTCAGACTTGCTGCTGAACTTGCTGTACAGCAGCACTTCAGGAGGAGACCACCGCACTGGAAACTTGGACCCCATGGAGCTTGTGTACTCATCATCTAGCACGTACCTGCAGCAGGAAAATGGATCAGGGTGCCTCGCCTGCATTTCACATTTCCCTCCTCCACACAACTGACCAAGCTCAAAAGGAATGGCAGCTCAGAATGACCAGAGGCTGCAGCAATGCATGGGTTTCAGCAGTACATGCGTGTTAGCCAGGACTGCAGAAGAGATTTGCTGACAAATGCTGACAATTTGCTGGAAGCACAGCAAAAAGGGGATGTGGAGAGAAAGCTGCAGCCAGGAGAATTGGGGGTGAGAAAGAAGATACAGAGGGAGGTGGGGAAGGGCCAGGGAAAGTAAGAAAGGGATGATGGAAAGTGGAGAGGCAGAAGGTTGAGCCAAGCAGATGAAATGGGAAGACAATGGTAAAGCAGAGCTGGAGGGTGGTGGGGACAAAGATCAAAGTGTAGAATTGATGGAAGGAGGAGATGGGGTACTGAGACAGAAAAGTGACACAAACACATCCACCAGACCTGGAAAGACCAAAATCTGACACTTTCACAATGCCTTGGTCATTCACCAAACAGTTTCGAGCAGCCTGTGAAGGGAGAGGTGCAGGCAGTTACTTCTCCCTGCTCTTGTCTCTCCCATCCCCCTGTAGCAGGTGAACTTCATCTCATCCCCACCCACCAAACACTTCACCTCACTTTGTCCTGCAAGTTCACCTGGACTGGGGCAAGCTAGAAAACCCTCAACAGAGAGCAACTGAGGCCTCCAAGCATCCTGTTTATCTATGTAGGGGCGACTTCCCAGCAGGATTTTGCCTGAACAAAGCAGCCAGAGCCCTACCAGGTCTCTGTGCAGGAACTGCTTGGATTCCAGGTACTCCATAGCTTCACAGACATCCTTGCACATCTCCAGCAGCTCGGCAGGCTGGAAGCGCTGCCGTGTTTCCCTCAGGAAGTTCAGGAGGCAGCCATTGGCCATGTACTCGGTGATGATGAAGATGGGACGCTGCTTAGTGCAGACCCCGTAGAGCTGCACCAGCTTCTCGTGGGACAGGTTCCTGTGTTGGGGACAAAGGCAATTCTGAGCATCTAGAAAGCCAGGGAGCAAAGAAGTACCTGTGAATAAGGAGAGTTTGGGAAGGGAAGGTGCTTCTGGCCCAGCTGACAGTGGAAAACCTCACTGAGGAATCAGCACAAAATCAGTGGGATCTTGGATGCATTTTGCAGAGTATGGGACTGCCCAAGACTGTCCCTCCACACCTCCCAGGAGTGCAGCCATTCTGGCAAGGAGCACCCAGCACTGCCCTGCATGGTGCTCACCACTTACATCATGACTTTGGCTTCGTCAATGAACTCGTCCTCTGACATGGAGCCCTCCCTGATCATCTTGATGGCAACGTTGTACTGGCCTCTCCATTTCCCGTACTTCACCACGCCAAACTGCCCCGTCCCCAGTTCCTTCAGGAAGGTCAGATCCTTGGGGTCGATCTCCCACGAGCCTAGGACAAGAGTGTGAGTGTACTGTGGGTACAGGTGACAGGGTACCCTGCCTGGTGCTCCCAGTCATCCCATCTAGCAAGCCCAAGAAAAGCTCACAAGCATCTGCTGCCTGATAAATCATCCACAAAATCCACAAAATCTGAGACCTGTAACTCCAGGCATCCCCTGGCTTGCTAGGAGCAAGGTAGCTTGTGGAGTCTTTTGGTCAATACTGTCACCAGAGGGCAGTTGGGAAGTGGCTCCTGGGAAGGCTATGAGCCATGGGACAGCCAGGATCCCAGCCTGGGAAGGCTGCTGCCAGCAGAAACAAACACTTTAACCAGGGAACTGCGAGGTAGCCCAGGCTGCCTTACCATAGCCAAGGCCAGCTGTGGAAGGAGCACTTTTCTTGTGCTGAGACACGGGGTACTTCAGTCTGGATATGAGCCCTGAAACACAGCAGCAGAGATTGCCACTCTAGGCTTACCTGCCACATTCCAGCAGGGAACACAACCCCTGCCTTTGGCACAGGAAGGTGGGGACGCTGTGGTGCCAGTGCAAACACTGCTGGCTTCACTCTGCCTCCTGAACACTGACCTGCAGAGTTGTGCTGGTGGTAGGTGATGAGCTCTGGAATGCTGTTGAACAGGTGCTTTTCTGCCAGGTAATACTGATTCTGGGGGGTGCAGCAGACAACATAGTGGCGGATCGTGCCTTGGGGGTCTCTGGAGAGGGAGAACATGAGGTCAGTGCCATGGGGAGGAGAGGCAGAGGGTGAGAGGTGCCTGGAGGGGCACTCCAAGGGAGGAACAAGCTGTTCTTAGAGCCACTTACACGGAGGACTTGGCATAGACAGAGACAGTGTATTTCCCTGTCTTGCTGGTGGAATCTCGGACAATGAAGCCGCCTTCCTTACCCTACAACAGAAAGGGGAAAGGGCACTGGGTGTTTGTGGGGACTGTGTGTGACTCTAACAGGCAAAACTTGAAGTGAGTGAAGATCACAGCATGGCTGGAGAGAAAAGGGGAAAGGGCACTGGGTGTTTGTGGGGACTGTGTGTGACTCTAACAGGCAAAACCTGGAGTGAAGATCCATGGCTGGAGAGGATCCAGTGAGACAGAGGAATCCTACTTCCAGTCCCTGCATGGGAGGCTACCTCCTGAAGTGGCTGCCTGGAGGAGCTCACACTGGGATAGGGAAGGTTCCTGGGGCTGTTGGGTCAACACTCCTCTCCCAGAAAAGCCAGGGTTGGTCCCATGCTGGACACAATGTGAGAACAGCCCATGGAGGGCTGGTGTAGAACAGACCCAGCCTCAGGAGGCAACGCTTACCTCCTGTTTCAGCAGTTGCTCTGCTTGGCTCCGAGTGATATTCTTTGAGTACCACCTGGAACAGGGACACAGGCATCAGGGAGATCTCCACAGCCACCTCTGTCCCCAGCCCAGGCTGACCCTGGCCCAGCCAGGACAGGCACTGCAGAGAGAAGGGCAGGGATGGCTGCCAGGGGCTGGAGGCTGTCAGAGGATGTGGAAGAGGGAGAATGACCCAGCCAGGCTGGGCTCATGGGCTGTGCAGGGTAACAACCAAATGGAAAATGTCTCCAACCAAGTACAACTCGCCAGGTGCCCGTGCCCTCTCTTACTCAAAGATCTCCAGGGAATTTCTGGTTTCAGTGACGTAGTTGCTGGGGATGTATCCTTCCCTCCTGCAGAGAAAAGGGCTGGTCACACTGATGGAGGAGGCCAAGGGGAAAGAATATTTCTGTCTCAGGAGGCTGATAGAAATGGGCTCAAAAGCTTTGGTGCAAACCCATCTGGGAAGGGCTGACACCACAGCTGGTTTCAGCCTCCTCCCCAGGGCAGCCCACAGGTGGTCAGGCAGACTACCCTCCCTGGGGGGTGCCCAAGGGGTGTGTTTGCCCCCCAGTGCCTGAGCACCAGGGCAGGGCAGCGCTGCAGAGCCACGGCCATGGCCATGGGAGCTCTCACCCGTTCTTGTCCAGGGCTTTCCACCAGGGCAGGTGGCTCTCCTCCAGGATGAAGTACTCCTCGCCCTTGTGCAGCTGCAGGTCCTGTGCATTCATTGGCTCGTAGTTGTAGAGGGCCACCACCTTCTTCATCTCCCCTGCTGTGCTGGGGGCTGGCTCGCGGGGCAGAGGCTTCATCACCATCTTCCCACAGGGACAGAGGGAGAGCATGGGACACAGTCAGGCTGGCACACACACATGAGACCCTTCCCAGGCTGAGAGGGCAGTGGTCTCAAGCAAGGTCAGTGCAGTGTTTGTCTCAGCTCCCATGTGTATCTCTACCAGAACACCCATTTCCTCTCCCTAGACTTTTTATCCAAATATTTTCCCCCATCTCCACAAAAAGGTGTTTTCTCTTTATCTTTTGGCTTAACCTGTGACTCTTCCAGCCTACATCAGAGCTTTAATCTCTCAGGGAAACCTTAGGGTTGATAATTTGACTTTCCTATAGGCCTTTGGGCTCCATCCCCTTGTGACTCTTCCAGCCTACATCAGGGCTTTAATCTCTCAGGGAAACCTTAGGGTTGAGATCATTTGACTTCCCTATAGGCCTTTGGGTTCCATCCCAAGGAGCTTCAAGCTCCTTCTCCCTTATGTCACCATCTTGACCTCCCTCCCCAGAGCAGAGTCCTGGCCTGTAGATCTCTAAGCAGTCATTGAACATGATGGCTTTTTCCAGGTAGATCTTTTCTCCAACACTTTGGAGCAAACCCTGACATTGGCCTTTACCTGGTCCTCCTCAGGAGTTGGGGGAAGGGGCTTCTTTGTCTTGCGATGCGACCGCCCGACTTTTAAACCTTCAGAACAGAGGAGGGGCTAAGATGAGAAAAGAGCCCTGGCTCTGTGCTGCAGTGGTCCCCAGGGCAGGGGGACGAGGCAGTGGGAGGGTGCCTGGTGTCTTACTGCCATTCCTGCTCTCCAGAATCTGGCAGCCCATGGCGTTCTTGGCTGTCTGGGAGCAGCACAGGTACTGGCCGTCGATCCAGAAGCAGGGGTGGTACTTCTGGACCAGGTCGCTGTTGTAGCGAATCACTGTGGCAGGAGGGAAGATGTGTGTGACCCAGGGCTGTGTCCCCAGCCTGCTGCAAGAGCTCTCTGCTCCCTGAGTGCAAGTGGTCAGCTGCATTAAATCATTTCCTCTCAGCTGTGCTGCTGCCCCCTGAGCCTCGATGTTCAGGTTTCCCTCAGCTTACCACTCTTGTTTCAGTGCTGTGGCCATGTAAGCCCTGTGCCACAGGGAAGGGCCAGGCTTGGCTCTCAGATCTGATTCAAGCTTTTGAGCAGCTCTGCAAAGGGGCAGCATGAGCATGCTTGGAGCCAGTCACAGAAGGACCTGGCCCTCCTGCCAGCCAAAATATCCAATAACCCCCAGGCTGCTCCAGCCCATGGTTCACAGCTCTTTTGAGCCCTTTTTTTTTTTCCAGAAGTGGTGTGGGAGGCCAATGCTGTGCCTGGCTTTTCCATGGGAAGAGGAGGGCACTGCCACCACCCTGTGCCTGCTCAGAGACTTCCCTTGCAGGGAGAATATTCCCTGGCTAGGCAGGCTGACCAGCTTCCTCATACTTCTCTAGAGGGAAGAGAAAACTGGATCTGCCTAAACACTGTCAACAGCCTAGGGCTGGCCCACAGCAGCTGCTCGGGGTGCAGAGAGCCCATTCTTTGGTGGAGTAAGAGGACAACCTGTCAGTAAAAAAGCAGCATTTTCTCTCCTTTCCTTGTGGATTCTGCACTGGCTGGAGCTGCCACAGAAACTCTCCTCCCTCAGCAGGGAAGTGGGAGAGGACTGGCTGCTCTGCTGGGGCTCTTGTGAGATAACCGACTTCCCCGTTATCAGCCTGCCCCTCTTCCGCCTCGCTCGAGCCAACTTCCCCGTGTCAACTCAAGCAGCTAATCCCACCCTGCCAGCACAAAGCCACAGAAAGACACACACACATGTGCCAGGAGGCACACACAGCCAGCTCCAGCAGATTCTGGGTGGTTGGAGCCCCTTGGCACAGTGCTGCTGCAACACACTCCCAGCTCGAGGAGGGAGCACCCACCCAGATCTGGGCATTAGCACTGAGCAAGGCTTGAGGTGATTTGGGGAATATTCCCTGGCTCCCAGCAGGCTTGTGGTCCTTGTTTCCTAAAGCACTGGGCACCCAACCCTCACATGCCAAGGCAGCACAGCTGTATGGCCACATCTGCTATTTCCTCTTGCCCTCAATGATTTCTAAGCCTGCTTGATCTACTTTGGAGCAGGTTTGTGAGGAGGCAAGGAGCCTCACTGAGGCAGCTGTGGTGCTGCAGAAGGTGACAGCATCCACCTGCACTGGGCAGGAGCAGCTCTCTCTCCCTCAGACACAGGACAGGTAACCATGAGCCAGCGAGCCCTGGGAGCCTGCACTGTGGGTGAGGCACAGGCACAGCTGAGCCCGGGCTGGCTTCCCAAGGGAGCTGCGAGCCCAGCACTCACCGCTCTTCAGCTGATGGATCCAGCGCTTGCGCAGCTCCTCCGTCGGGGAGAAGATGTAGAGGGGCCCCTCGTCATAGACCACCTGCAGGAACACTCACCTCAGTGCGGCGGGCAGGGCTCTCAGGGCAGGCACGGGCGGAGCCGAGCCCTGCGGCCACCCGAGCCAGCCCTGCCGCTGTCTGCCGGCCCCGCACGGTGCTCGCGGACCGTGACACAGAGGTTAAAAATAAGCCCCCTCCCCCGAGACTTTCCACTTCCTTCTCTGACTTTCGGTGTGCCGGGGGTGCACTGGGTGCCAGCAGGGCAGGCAGCTGGGCTGGGGGCTGAGTGTGCAGCCAGCATCCCTACAGCATCACCCCGGGGACTGCAAGGGGCAGGACAGAGCTCAGAAGCAGGTTCCCATCTTAAACAGAGCTGGCTCGGGGCTCTGAGAGGCTCACCTGGCTGTCCCCTGCAGTATGGACAGCAGCAGAGTGCCTCCAAGCAGCTGAGTGACACCTGGCACCGGGGCAGTGATGCCATGTTTGATCCCAGGCCCCTGTGGGGTCCTTCCCTCAGGACCTGCCACCAGGCAGAGTGGACCAGCAAAGAGGGTGAAGTGAAAACTCACCTGGAAGGGGTAGGGGAACCGTTCGATGATTGAGATCTGCTCCATGTTGTTGTAATCCTCCCCTTTCCTCTGCAAGAGAGAGGCAGAGATGGATGCTGGCATCCTGTTGCTCAGCTGCTGGCATCTCCTCTGGAGCAGGCCCACAGCTTTTGGCATCCCCTTGCTCTGCATCAAGCTGGACCCCTGGTATGGTGTGGACAGAGCCCCCCATGCCAAGCAGGGTTGTCCCCCACTGCCACCACCCCAGGGACTCTTCCTACTCCCCCAGCAAGGGGACAGAGGGACAGATGCAGGGACCCTGGGACTCTCCTACCGGGACCTGTCGCTCAGGGGGAGGGTTGTTTTCAGGTGCCACTGTCTCCACACAGGTGATCTTCTCAATGTCCACGGAGCCCTTCTTACTGCCCCGGCGCTGCAAGAGACAGTCTTGGTTCAAATGGTCACCAAGTGGAGACCTGGAGAGACTCAAACCAGCCCCTCTCCCTGTTCAACCACCCCTTGGGCTACGTGCTGGCAAGGGACAGCTGGTGACCCCTGGACACTGGCATGGCACTGCCCCTGGGGCTGCACTCACCCCCCGCTCAAAGTCATACTCGTAGTAGGACAGCTTGCTCTCTGTCAGCAGGAACAGCCGCTTCTTGAAGTTGAGGGGAGATGTTTTCTTCTTCTGCTGCGAGCGCTTCAAGAAGATGCTCTCCAGGATGACACTGGCCATGTCAGCCCCTGGTGTCCCCTGTGCTGTGCTCACCGGCTTGCTGTGGGCAAGACAATGCTGGCACGGCGCTCGCTCAGCCCAAAACCTGCTGGACCTCACTCAGTGCACTCTCCCCCTTGCCCCAGGGGCAGACAGGGGGTGCTGGGACCCCCACAGGGGGGGAGGAGCTGCAGAGGGGTGAGGACAGGTCAGTGTGGGTTGTTTGTGATGTGATCTCCCCCACACCAGGCTGCAGACCAAGCCACCACCCAGATGGCTCCTTCTCCTGCTGAAGAGGCCCCCAGGATATGCAAGATGGACAGAGAGCTGGAGAAAGAGAGAAACAGGGGAAGCTTGGAACACGGGGAGGAGCACAGAGCCAGCTGTGACACCCCGCAGGCGCTCCTCCCCTCGGCTCTGTGCATGTGAGCCTGTGTGGGCTGTTTCCTCCTGCCCCACCGCAGCCTCTTCGTGCTGGGGACGTGCTGACTTGGCAGCGTGCAAGGGCTGGTCACGGGAGACCAATCCCTAAAAAGCTGTGGGTAGGGCCTGGCCCTGAAAAGTCACAGTGCTGCCAAGAGCACGGAGTAGCCCCAAAGTCATCCTTCCCCTGTGTGTCCACAGAGCCTGCAGGAGTGCAGGATGGAGCTCAACTCCCCTCTGAGCAGCACTTTTCAATGGCCAGGCAGCAGGCAGAGGGGTTAAATCCTCCCCCAGCCATCAGGAAATCTCCCCATGGCCTCTCCAGGGAAGGGCAGTGTGGGAAAGGGCTCATGAGAGCCCTGCATCCAGCTGCTGCCCAGCCTTTAGGGACTGGAAATTGCCCTGGCCCATCTCTTGGAGCAGCCCATGCATCTCACCCCATCCCTCCATGCTGTACCCAGGAACTGTGACCTCCAGGTGGGCCCAGCAGCCCCAGAGCCACGTGGCTGGAGCTGTGGGCTGTGACCAGCACCTGACTGCAGTCTGGGAGCTGATGAGTGAGCTGTGTGGGCCCCTGCTGACCTGTGAGCCCCTGGAGCCCAGCTCCCTGTCTCCTGCCTGACCACCTACAGTCCCTGCTTCCCCTTCACCCTCACCTTGTTCCCTTTTTTCCTCCTATAAGCACAGCTTTGGAAAGTAACCTGGGAGAAGCTGTTTTTCTCCCCTGCTCCCCACAGCCCATCTCCTCAGGGGGAGGCTGAGAGGTAGACCACAAACAGGGACCAGAAACAGCCTCCCATTCCCCAGCTGAGTTTTCATTCTCCACACACAGGAGATGGGCATTGGATCACTCACAGCACAGACAGGTGGGGAACAATGATGCCAGGACCCAGTCCCACACACTGTGCCTCTCTCCAGGGCAAGCCCCAGCTTGGGGACAAGGAGCAGAGATGTCCTCCCATCTGCTGGCAATGCCCAGACCCTCCCAGCACAGCCCCTGCCCCTGCAGTACTGACCCTGCCCCACAGCCCCCACAGCCCCCACAGAGGCTGGGGACAAGCAGGATTCCCTCTCCCAGGCTTCCTTCTTCCCTCCTTGTGGCTCTTATGGCTCAGACCCTTCCAGCTTGTTGGGTGGTCAAAAAAAGCCCAACTTAAACAACTTAAAATTAGTTATTAGAGTCTTTTGGAAAAAACAGCAGTGTGCTGATTGAGGCCTCAGGAGGAGGGCTCTGGGGTCCCTGCAGGTGGCTGGTGTGGCCCCCCTGACCCCCAGACTGCTGGCAGGATGGTGGATGAGCCCACAGTGACCCCAGAACCACCCTGTAGCCTTGTGCCTCATTTTCCCTGTTTATCAAGTGTGGCTGCTGATCCTGTGTGCCAAGAGCAGGAGGGCTCCCACTGCCCTCCCTGGCAGTCACAGGGCTGAGCAGAAGGGCCTTGGACTCCAGCCCATCCCAACTGCAGTGCTGGCTCCCTGGAGCTTTACCTGGAGTCACAGCAGTGGGGTCATGGCCAGCAGTGCCAGGCAGGTGGGACATGTCCTCACTGTGTGCTCTGGATGGAACTGCCAGAGGAGAAAGGACAATGAGTGTCTCAGAGGGCTGTTGTGCCCCATCATGGCACAGCCTCCCTGTCCCCAGCCCTGCCACCAGACCCGCTGTGTCCCTGCCTGTCTCGGTGTGGTGGGCTCAGCCCCACAGCCAGCAGTGTGCTGTGACAGCAGTGACGAGTGGGTGTGCACAGACACGTCCTGTGTCCCCCCTCCAGCCAGTGTGACTTCCTGCCATGCTCACACCTCTGCCCAGCGTGCTCTGAGACCTCCACCAGGCTTGCCACATGCTGCTGGCCTCATGCCACTGCGCACTGTGTCCCACCATGGCCCTGGGGCCACCCTCCGCCACAGGCCAGCTCTGATGTGGGGCTGGCAGGGACCTCGCATGCCTGGGACAAGGGGAAGGGCGACAGAGTGACAAACTTCACAGCCCTCATGTCGCCGGCTGAGCCCCGAGGGTGTCGAAAACGATGGGTGTGAGGGACAGAGGTGCTAACCTCCTGTACGGGAGAGACTCCTGACGAACCCAGAGCTGCACCCAGCAGTGCCCACTGTGAAAGCACGGTGAGGAATGGCCAAAGACACGGGCAGAACCCAGCCCTGCTCCTGGCCACGCCGGCACCCTCACAGCGCTGCGATCCCCGCTCCAGCACAGCCCCTGGCAGCCCCTCCCCATCCCTGCCCGCGGCACCCCACAGCCCCACGGCCGGGTGACAGGCCCAGTGCCAGCTGCTTGGACCCGGCCAGGCTGTGGGAGCAGCAGAGCTTCCGCTCGGCCGCCCGAGCCCAGCGCGGCTGCCCTGCCCTCAGGAGCCCCGCAGAGGCGTGAGCCCACCGCGCAGCCCGCACGGAGCCTCCCGCCGCCCCGGCTGCCCACAGCCACCCCAGCAGAGCCCCACGGTTCCCCGGGAGCCCCGAGGCAGCGCCGGCGCGGCCGCGGCCCCGGCAGAAGCTCCTCACTCACCGGGCTCCGCCGCTCGGCCAGCCGGGCCCGCCGCGCCCGGGGCGGCAGCGACGGCACGGGCGGCGGGCTGCGCGGGGAGGAAGGACGGGGCCGGCCAACCCCACCCTTTCGGTTCCCCTTTTTGCGTTCTGTGACTCAAAGGCAGCGCTTGTGTTTCCTCCTGCAGACAGCTGGGCCATTGCCGTGGGTCACCGTGGCCGGAGCCTGCCCCGCGCTCCGGGCAGTGCCGGGTGTTGGCTGAGCTGGCTGGCCTCCCTTGTGTTGTCCCAAAACGGGCTCTTTCACCCGATGGGGCTGACCCCCACACAGAACCGAGGTATTTTTATTTGCAGTTCTGTGTGGAAAGATGTTTTGGTGGCAAATTCACAAAGCCAGTAGAGTGACTATCAAAACTTTTCACTGTTTATACAATTTAGCAAATGAAAACGTTAATCTTCATTGACTACATATTACATAGTTCATTAATATTCTGTTTTATAGTGTTAAATGATTCCCTCACTTATGTTAATTAGGCCACATGCTCAGTGTTCCTCTTCGTTTGGGTCAGTGGGTTTCTTGGGTCGGTGGTCCAGGGCTGGTGTTGTGATCTGGAGTCTCTTATCCACTCAGAGCTGCTTCAGCGCAGTCGGTGAGTTAGCTTTGCTAGTGACATCCTTGTCTAGAGAGTTCTGCCAGCTGTTCCCGTGCTCCCAAACTCTGCACTCTCTGTGCCCGCTATCACTGGTAAACCCTTCTTCCCAAGCGCTGTTAATTTCCAGCCAGGTCTGAGGTCGCTGAAACATGTGAAGCCCTAAACCTTAGCAAGGACCTCTGCTGACACACGATTTGTCTTTCACACACCTGGATGTCGGCTGCAGCCGGCGGTTCCCCGCCCCTCACAGCCCCCGTCCCACCGCGACCCGGCCTCCCCGCCATGGCCGCCGCCTGCGCTCCTCCCACCGCCAGGGGGCGCCGTGCCCCGCGCCGTGCCCCGCGCGCTCCTCTCGATGGTCCCCAGCTCACACTCACTTCCGCTTCCGGTCAGCTCCTTCTCTCCGGGCCGCCGCCGCCAAAATGGTGAGTGCTGGGGCTGGGCCGGGCTGCATCCGCCGGCATCCGCCCCGCGGCTGCGCCGGGCCGGGCTCCCTCCGCCGCCGTGGGTGCGTGCTGAGCGGCCAGACCGGCGCGGGGGCTTCCCCATCCCCGGATGGCAGCGCAGGGCCCGAGGGAAGGGGAAGGGCGGGAGCGGGGCCTTCGGAGCGGGATGTGGCGTATGCGCAGCGGCCCTGACCGGCTCCCCTCCTTCTCCTCCAGGTGAACGTGCCGAAAACCCGCCGCACGTACTGCAAGAAGTGCGGGAAGCACCAGCCGCACAAGGTCACGCAGTACAAGAAGGGGAAGGACTCGCTGTACGCGCAGGGTGAGCACGGCTCGCTCCGGGTGTCCTGTGCCCTGGCTGGGGACATGGGGCTGGGGAGGACGGCTGGGCCCAAGGGATGTGCTGGGCAGCGAAGGGAGCTGAAAAAATAAGACACAGGCAGAAAGACTAAGGACGTGTCAGCCCAAAGTAGTTTCAGATGGTTGTTGTATGGAGATGTTTAACTAGTTAGGGAATGTGCTCTGGGTGAACCTGGCTGGCTCTGAAAGCACAGCTGGAGCCCAGGCTGGCCAGCCCTGCTGTGGGTTTGAAATGTGCTGGGCCTTCAAGTCCAGGTGAAAGAAAGTGAATCCCATGAGGGCTCCACCAGCAGTGATGTGGATTAATCATGGAAATATCACCTGAACAGGACTGTATAAATATTTCCAGCCCTTTGTGTGCTGCCTTAGAGGATTTACCACGCAGCACCCTTCTCTGCACAGAACCCTGAGTAAATCAAGTGCCTTGACCTTGTGTGTTTGCTGGGTGCACAGTGAGGGGAAGGCTCCACTTTTGGGGACAGCACAGGAGCCGTGGCACTGGTTCTGCTGGGCTGTGCTGGGGTTTAGGCAGTGCCTTGGAGCACCCCCTGGGCTGCTGCCTGAGCAGAGCTGTTTCTCCCACAGGAAAAAGGCGCTATGACCGGAAGCAGAGCGGCTACGGGGGCCAGACAAAGCCCATCTTCCGTAAAAAGGTGAGTGGTTTGCTCCTCAGGAGCAGGAAACGCCCTGGGCAGCCCCTGCCCAGCTGAGGGAGGGTTCCTCAGTGCCCTTTCCTGGCTGTGTTAGGGCAGTGCTGTGCTGGCTCAGCTCTCCCTTCATCACAAATGCCTTGGGTTGGAAGGGACAGTCTTGTTCCAGTCCCTCCCACTGTCCCAGGCTGTTCCAAGGCCCATCCAGCCTGGCCTTGGGCACTGCCAGGGATGGGACAGCCACAGCTTCTCTGGGCACCCTGTGCCAGGGCCACTCCACCCTCTCAGGGAAGATTTCTTCCTACTCTTTAAGTCTCTGTCAGTGTGAAGCTGTTTAGGCCCATCCAGCCTGGCCTTGGGCACTGCCAGGGATGGGACAGCCACAGCTTCTCTGGGCACCCTCTGCCAGGGCCACTCCACCCTCTCAGGGAAGAATTTCTTCCTACTCTTTAAATCTCTGTCAGTGTGAAGCTGTTTCCCACTGCCCTGTCACTCTGTGCCCTTGTACAAAGTCATTCTCCCTTTCCCTTTCAAGCTCCCATCAAGAGCACTGCTCATCTCCTTGCTGTCCTGTCTCATGGAGAGGCTCCTCTTTTGCAGGGTGACTTGGTGTGTGTTTGCAGAGCAGGTTCTCAGCTTGGATGCTGCAAGGGAGTGGGTTCTTTCTGGGAGGGGTATTTGCAGTGAAGGGAACGTTTCCTTCACTGCTTGCCCAGGGGGAAGGCCTTGGCAAAGGGAAAGGAGCTGTCTGCTTGCTCGGTGTATTTACAGCAGGGAAGCAAACCCCAGTGGGTGGGTTTGTTGCTTTGTGTGAATTATTTAGTTATGCTCATAGAGCTGCTTGGTTTGTTGCTGGAAGCCCTGGTGTCCTGCTGGAGGTGCACAGGAAGCCTTCCAGCAAGAAGGAAAAAATGAGGCAGCAGGTTTTCAAGTTGACTTCGTGCCAGGAAGCGGAGAGACCTCACAGAAAATGCTTCTGCAAGCAGGGTACACCACGCAGCTGCATTGCTGGCACTCTCTACCTGTACATTGCAATTCTCACTTCTGATTTTTCCCAGTCAGCATTGTATGGATGGTTGGCTGAGGTTTTTAGCTGGTGGTTACAGCCCTGTCCAGCTGCTACAGCAGCCTCCCAGGTTTGGATTCTTCCCTCTGCAGTCTTTCAGGTTTCATCCAGCTTCTGAGTAGCTGCAGGTCTGCACTGAGCCTGTTGTGTCACTGCTGTCACTGCTCCTTCAGAGAAAATTTGCCAGTGGTGTTGCTTCCAGGTGTTTCTTTTGCCCAATTTTCTTCTGGATTTCTCCTGAGCACTGCTGGTCTGTGCTTCCACACTAAAAGTGTGAGTTTCTTGCTCTGTTCAGTGAAACAGATTTCTCCAGCATGGCTGATCCTGCAGGAACCAGCCCTGCCCCACTGAATGCTTTTGCCAGCACCCTTTGTGTGAAGATACCAATCCACTTCAGTCCTCCTGATCCTTAAAGTGCTGCCTTCTTTTCAGTGGAGGGAGCCTAACTGTGTTTGTAGTCTGTCTATACTTTGAGAATAAACTGAATGTTCAGGAGTGCAGGGAACAAGCTCTCCCTGAGAGTGTGTCTGCTGGGGGATGTGTGTTTCACTAAAACACCCTGCTCCTCCTCCTTCCAGGCCAAGACCACCAAGAAGATTGTGCTGAGGCTGGAGTGTGTGGAGCCCAACTGCAGGTCCAAGAGGATGCTGGCAATTAAGAGGTGCAAGCACTTTGAGCTGGGAGGAGACAAGAAGAGAAAGGTGAGTTGCTATTCTGTGAGTGGCTGAGAAAGGGGGGCAATACTCAGTGGTGAATAAACTCACCCTTGTCCCTTGCTTCTTACAGGGCCAGGTGATCCAGTTCTGAGCATCGTCCTGATCATCGTTATGGACCACATTAAAGTAATTGGATTGATCCCTTGCTTTTCTTTATGTGTTTTCTCTTGGGGTGGGTGCTGTGAGTACATCAGCTCAGCAGGGAGGTGTTGCTTGCAGAACCATTTAACAGACCAGTTTTTGACCTGGCTTTTGGAAGATCCCTGTCAGTAGCTGGGATCTCTTTACTGTGTTTCCAGGAGGTGTTCTGTAATGGGTGCCAGTGACTTCTGTGCATGAGCATGGTGCAGGCTCGTTTATGAGCTCCCCTGAACAGCCCCTGCACTTGGCTCCAGGCCCCTTTTTACAGACAGCTGAGGAGCAGAGGCCTTGGAGCAGCCAGTGGCTTTGGCACCTGCACCATTAGGCAGGTGCCATGAGCTGTGGCAGCTCAAAGAGGTGAGGCACAGCTCCGTGCCTGTGGCTGCTCCTGGCACATGGTGTAACAGCCTCAGCTGCCCTCCCCTGCTGTTGGCTCCTCTGCATTTTCCTTGAAGGAAGAAGGCCAAGCACAGCAGTGAAGTTTCAAATGGGCAGCAACCAGAGTGTGGTAGATTGTGGGGACAGCCTCCAGGACAGCTTCCCCTTAGAGAGGAACATTTCTGTGAGTAGGAAGTCTGCTGTTAGCAGGTGCTGGGAAGGCAATGCAGAGTTCACCCTTACAGGCAACTTTCTTGTAGTAGAAGTGGAGCTGGAGGATGGAGAGATCCTCTTCACATCTTCATCATGACTGAGAGCACTGAATTGTTGTAGTAAAGTGGAGCTGGAGGATGGAGAGATCCTCTTCACATCTTCATCATGACTGAGAGCACTCAGTTACTGAATTGTAAGGGAATCTGTGGTTTTGCTTATTAAATATTGGCTGATGTGATGGCCTTTTCAGATTTGTGTAGGCAGTGGTGGCTTTGGCCTGTGGGGTGGACTGTATGGCTGTATTACATCAGCTTCACTGAGTGCTGTTTCTAGTAATCATGACAAACTTCACAAAAACTTACATGACTGGAACAAACTGGCCTGTTTCCTAAACCATTATTTAATTTCAGATACCATGCTGTACTCTTGTACACTGCCAGTAAGTAAAAGCA